CCCCAAAACCCCAAAACCCCAAAACCCCAAAACCCCTTTATCAAACTCGATCTTTGAAATGTATTTTTCTATTAATCCTTGATCGTGTAATTCCTTCTTCACATCAAGATTGAAGGAGTCTGTGACATATCTAAATCCACTGTTGCTTGGTCGAGGTTTCATTCTGATTCTTTAGGTGTTGGCATATCTTCTTCCTCAGCTCGAGATAAATCTAAGAGTAAAGGAAGAACTTACTGTTAAGTTGATCACAAAGGGAAACTAAGTTCGAGGTTTGCACTATATTTTTCGAATTAGATTTGTAAAAATGTGAGAAATAAAGATGCTCAGATGGATCATCCTTTACGATAAGAAGTCTCCAATTAGGGATAAGTTAAGATTGATATGACGATCATACCAATTTTGTATGATTTATATTAAGATTTAGAAAGAACTTGGATATCCTATCACCTACACTTAGTCTCTGCTCCAATAAAGCTTCTTCTCTCTGATGGATAAGGATCTCTGTTTTCCTTAGTTTCTTTATAAGACTTGGGTTGAGGTATTTGTTGTTCATTCCGAGAAACCCCTGATTTTGCTTGAGAGAGTAACCCTGACAACTTGGGCCTTCTATGAGAATACATCTGGTTAGGTCTTAATTGCATTGGCTTTGTGTTGTTAGAGACCTCTCTGAGACTAGAAAATCTAGGTAAATCTTTCTGTGTACAACCTTTAAGAATCATATCAACTTTCTCTAAGTTCTCTCTGTAACCATCTAGAGTGGAGTTGACGTTTTTGAGTTCAATACTCGGGTTTTGAATTACATCTATTGATAGTTTCGTTGTAAGATTTGCTTTTTGATCCAGAATTTTTGGATGAAAGATCTTCTTCTACAAAGCAAGGTGAGTTAATTTGAAAATAAAAAGATCTGAGTAGCTTACCTCCTTATTAGCTTTACTCGTGCGGAGATTCCCGAGTTCTTTAGGAAGGAGTCTATCTAACGGCTTGTATGTCATCTTGCCAACAGGTAAATGAGTAGTAGAGCTATAGCTTTCTCTTTCAGCCACTGAAAGAGTTAACGAGGTTGAAAGATCATCCTTTAGAATTGAATCACCTCTGGTTTTAAGAGATTTTTTTGTAATTTCCTCATGATGGGAATTCAGAATAGAGAGTATTTTATTCGCAGTCCGGTTTTGAGGCGAGGAATTAAGCAAAGATGTGAGATAGGTTATGATGGAGTCAATCACTTTGTTCAGGCCTTTGTTAAGTACTCTCAGATTTTTATTATCTTCGATTACCTAAACTTAAAGCTAATTTATACTCTTTTGAATTTAGATCTTAATTTTTTGTGTTTTTCTTGAACCTTCAAAATTTCTTGGCTGTGGTTTTCTGCTTCAAAAATAAATCCTGAGGAGCTTTTTCTCTATAGAATACACTTTAAAATTCTACCTTTTCATTTGGAGATAGTTTGTTTGGGACAAGATACTTCTGTGAAAAATTTTCAGCAGAAACATCCCTCTTGCTCTCACCAAGCTCATCTAAAATAGAGTTTTTTGTTCCATTATTAATGATTCTCTTCTGTGATACCCCTTTCTTATTATGAGGAAATTTAGGCCCTATCTTTCTACTTCTCGATTGTGAATTAGATTTTATTGATGCATCTCGCTTCAGACTCTGAAGAAGGCTATTTGCACTCTTAATGTTAACCTTCGGCGATTTAGACTGATACAAGTAAGAGTTATACCCTTTTCCAAGACTTTGGCTCGAATTAGGTGATCTTAAAGCAGGTGATTTGCTATTAGGATTGATTCTGTAGCATTATTAAGCACATCCCAGTGTCAAGATTTAGCAAAGATATCTCTTTCTTTAAAAGCACAGTGGAAAAGTAAGTAGGAGGGCTATTTTACAAACTTACCTATTCTTGTATTTATTCCCTCGTCTTTCGTACTTTGAAATGGCAGATCTTTGTCGATCAGCACTTCTACTTCTGAGAAGATTGCTGGCTATTTCCACCTTGGAATAAATATCTTGGCAATTATTTATCTTTGAACAGAATCTATCATTTGTAGGAGTAGTTAGATCAATTAGCCTGTTCAGATCCATCTGCGTCTGATTATTGAGAAGGGAATTCTTGATGGCAGTACTCCTCTTTACAGATCTATAGCTATTACTTATGGAATTACTTCTTTGGATGATTCCTGTAGTTACTCATTGTTGGTGGGGAGGTGTTTATATGTAAGGTCCTCCCATCAGACACCTTCTTTACAGCAATTTGTTTATTTGGATTTTTATTTCCTCCCTTATTTTTATTTGCGGGTCTTTTGCTACCGGTTTTCATATAATTATCAGTTAAATATTTAATTCAAGGTTTTATTTGAATTTGGGGTTTTGGGGTTTTGGGGTTTTGGGGTTTTGGGG